TTTTTATAATACCTAAAATTATTATTACAATAAATCAAACTAACATAAATATAGCAGCAAATTTTATGGTGTGCACTTTCTTAAAAGTATATATGACATTAAATATACAATTATGTAATAATTCAATTATTTTGTATCAGTGAGTTGCAATTGCGAAATAACTCCATACACATTAAATAGTTATTATAATAAATGTGCATCATACATACACACTTTTTAAAGAAATGAGCTAAACTATGGAAAATTAACAACAATGATAGAGATTACTAATTTTGGAGTTCTAAAAAGACCACTAATGACATGGCACTCAATAAAAAAAGAAAAAAAATACAACACCAAGGCCAAAACATCAAATTATTCATAGTGGGACTTACTGCCACATCATTAGTGGTAGCACTAATTAGTGCTCCCACTCATTTTCTGAAAATTAATAGAATTTACAAAGGAGAGGAGAGGAGAGGGGATCTCATCATATCTCACATCACATCGTGAATCTGGACCAGAGCTTTTGCATGGTTGGATCTGTACAATTCAAAGGTGACAATATAGACTAGTTGTTCAACGAGTACAATAAATAAGTATGGTGGTCGTTTTTTTTTTTTGTGCTACTAATTAATGTGTATGCAGATTTCTTTAATTTGTGATTTTTTTTGTTATTTTAGGGATTTTAGTTGTTAGATTTTTATTTTATTTATTTATAAAATTTATTGGTAATAAGTTCATTTATATGGAGGGCAATATGACATTAGATAACTAATTTTTTATAGAGATAAATACATGATTAATGAAATTATTTAGTGAAAAGAATAATTTGTCATTTTGAAGATTTTTTTATTTTTTTATTTTTTTTTTTTGCTTTCATTTTACTCACTATTGTTAGATCATCGTTGGTGCTGAAAAAGTCACCAGAAAAATGGTTAGAAAAGTCACTGGTGGTAGCCGTGGAATGTCCCGGGTCTTGGACTTGGCTGATAGTGTGTAATAAGTTAGTGTGCATTACTTTCGGTGTTTTGTTTATCATATTGAGTCATTGAGGTTTATTTTCTACTCTTACTTAACCTCTCGTAACTTTTCCCGGGTTGAAAATTTTGAGTTTTGAGTATTGGAATTTGTTTCGGAATACAAAATCAAACTCTAGATTTTTGGACAAAACCACTCCTGCAGAATTGGGAATTGCTCTAGCGGATCCTCACAGAGTTTTTTAGGTTTTTCATAGTATTTTGGCTAGAAAACTGCTCGAGCGGATTTTGGTAAAATTTTCTGGGCAGCTCTCTGGAGTAAACCGCCCATGAGGCAAAAAATTTTGCTCGTGCATAATTGAAACTGGTCGTGTGAATTTCGGCGCGCTTATCTTGAATTTCACACTCTTTTCCTCAAAACAGATGCCAAAAATGTGTTTTGCACAGATTTTCACTCCTCTCTCTCTCTCTTTACTAATCTTTACTCTTCATTCTCTCTACAAACAAACCCAAATCCAAATCCAAACCCAAACCCAAATTTCTTCATAAGATTTAGCTCAAATCTTCAAGAAATTAAGAGGGCTTTTTACATTAAATCGAAGAGGGTGACGAGAGCTACGTTTATAATCGATTGGATCGAGTTTTCTTCCTTTTTATCTCCCAAGCTTGAGATAGGGATAATCATTGAGTTATATATATGTTTTTGCAAGATTATGATTGCTTGAAGCATTTATTACATGCTTGAGTTATGATTTTTGGGATTGTTGAACCCGAGATGATGTCAGAAGATGATTTATTCTATTTTTCCCAAAACTTTGAGATTATGAGCTATGTTCTAAGGCGTGGCTGTTTTGGAAAAAAAAAAAAATCAAAAATGAAACAAAACCCTTGTTTGGTGGAAACCATAGAATTTGGGAATTTTGGAAAAAAGTTGAGATATTATGAAATTGATGCTTGATAATTGGTTATGTGAGTAAATGATGGAGGAAATTCTATAGTTGTATCAAATGAATAAATTCATGAGAAAATGAGAAATTGTTGAATTGGGAAGCTTGAGCAATAGCTTGTTGTTGTTATTTTGGAAAGACCAAATGCTAAAAATGATGATAAATCTATGCAAAATGCACGAAGGTTGGTATTGAATTGTTTTATCTCTTGTAAGTGTATTATGATATTATAATGGCAAGAGATATAGGAAAAAAAGCAAAATAGTCATTTAGAAAATTTTAAGATATGACATCATCAATCCATGGGACAATTTGTAAGGAGATTACAAACCTCAAGAAAATGAATGCAATTTTTCAAATGTGAGGGGGAAATTTATATTAAACAGAAACCTCTAGGCGTGTTAGTGTAATTTATCCAAATTAAAAAAAGTGAAAATCGACTATTTCAATTGTTCAAAGGCAATAAAAATGATTGCTCAACCAACAAATATAGATGGTGTTTGGGAAGTGGGTTTTTATGTAAGTTTTTTTAGTTGTAGGTTTTTATTGGATAAAAAATTTTTGGTGTTTGGGAAGATAGTTGGGTTTTTATGTGGTTGGATGTGATGTTTGTGAGAGAAAAAGTGAAATGATTATGGGGTTAAATGTGATATTTTGTTTGGATGTATTATTTTTGGTTTTGTAAAAAGTTTGTTTTTTAGTGGAAAAAATGAGAAAAAAATTTGGAACCTAGGTTCCCAAACACCACCATAATAACAAATAATATACAACAAATTGTCAAACAATAGATAAAAAATCATCAAATAATTTATATATATTGACGCATCATTTTACAAAAATCTATATGTAATTAACTCTGACATAATATAGGCGAATAAACCAAACAATATCGATGACTACACAAATTGACGAAGAGACTTTAGTTTATGTATAACAATGGCAAAAAAATGATTGTTCATTGCCGGTTTACCGTCATCTCTATTATTGGTCTACATGTATAACTAACATTTTCTTCAAAATATTTTTTTCATGATAAGACTTGATTGTAAAATAATGGTGACGGAAGATCTTTGATTAAGTGAATCTCTCACATTGAGGTAAAGAAAATATTAAGAATAATAATTTTTTTATATTTATATACAGTTTTTTTTTTAAATATATATATATATATTATAATAAAAGTTTATAAGGGTAAACTAGTCTACATCATACTTCTAAGGTCATTCTAAATGCACACCATACAAACTCTTAGTACGCACCAATCTCTTAGTTCACACCACACTTTTTTCAATTATTTGATTTTTTCTCATTTCACACCATCAATTTTGAAAAACCCCAAAATACCCTCATCTTCTCCAACAGTCTCAAACCCTATTTACCAACTGCCGCCACCTCTATCCTAGACCTCGTCGTCTTCCTCTTCAGCCTCGTTTTCTTTCCATCGCCATCGTCATCCTCATCACACCCATGAACCTTCTCTTTCTCTCTCTCTCTCTCTCTCTCTCTCTCTCTCGTCGCACAGTGTGGTTGTGATAGTGGTAGGGGGCTACGATGGTGGCCGAAGAGGAAAGTCGTGGTGGTGGTGGTAGCTCAGGTACATCCGGCGGAAGTGAAAAGCTGGTGGAATCGACATTCGTAGCCACCACGACCGTCATAGCCTACTACATTCTTCTTCTGCTTACTTTCTAGATCTGGCTTTTCCAGATCTCACTTTCTTTATTGGTGATGGCGGTGGAGATTGCTAGTGATAGTGGTAGCCGACGATAAAGACCAAACTGTGATGGTAGCTGGAGAGGACGTCGTGATGGTTGTGGTTTGGGACGGCAGCTGGAGATGACAAATGCTAGTCTAGTGGCTGGTGGTAATGATGATGATGGAGTGAATTGAGACATAAGGGTTCAACAATGATTCATCCCACTAAAAATATTACCACTAATAGCACTAATACATTAAAAAAGTAAAAAAAAAAAAAACACAACTCTAAGACCAAAACATCACATCATTAATGGCGGGACCCACTGCCACCTAATTAGTGGGAGCACTAATTAGTGCTCCCAAGCATTTTTCCATAAGGGTTTAGAAATTTGTCTAAAAAAGTAGTTTTAGGCCTCGTTTGGGATGCTATTAAATTAGCCAATTAGTCAAAAAGTTACTAAATTAGTCAATTAGCCAATTAGTCATACCAAAAAGTCAACAATTACGACTTCTCTCTACTTTTTGCATAGTTTTTCGTAATTAGTCAAAAAGTCATCCCAAACATACAAGTTTTTTTTACCTACCTTTTTAGCCAATTGGCCAAAAAGTTACTAAATTAGCCTGTTTCCAAACGAGGCCTAAGAGTTAAAATTGTAATAAAAAAAATTTACGAATGGTGTGTACGGAGAGTATTAAAGGTGTGTAAATAAAATTATCATATTTTTAATATGAGAAAATGACTTATTGAAATATAAATTAATTCAAATGTATAGAATTGCATAGAACCGAAGACTACTTGGTGGACTTATTGAGTTATAAATCCTCTAAATGAGATTTATAAATAAATCTCCCAAAATTATAAACATTTATTAAAATCAATATCCAAAGGCATCATTTGAAAATTTTACTTTAGGCAACTAAAAAAGTTTTGCCACCCCTCACAGTGGGGAGGGAGGAGAAAGAAGACAATGAAGGGAGAGCATTTTATTTATTTTGTTAGATAAATTGATATAGAGAGAAATTGTATGTATTATAATTGATTGATATATATTGTTATGTATTACAACTCCTATATATAGAAGAAAATGTGGTAGTAGGTGTAGTGTAGTGGAGGTGGTAGGTGGAGTGGGTGGTAGTGGAGATGGTAGGTGGAGTGGGTGGTAGTGGTAATTTACATTTACACAATTTACATTAACAGCCCCCCTCAAACTCAAGGAGGATAGGTACTAGCCAACTTGAGTTTGGAGAGAGTAACAAAACAGAAAAATAAGCTGACAAATAAAATTAAAAATGGGATAGAAGACACTGTATGGTCGTGTCGGACCGTTGTAGCAGACAGTTTACGGGGGAACTCTGCTTAAGAATGTTGTCATCTAACTGGACAACTTCCTCCCATAGTTTACCAATATCTGTAAAAGTATTAACACTCCACAGGTTAAAAGAAACACCCTCACAAGTAATCCACACACACCTTTCTTGTTTGATCTACAGCCTTTTTTCCCAATCACTTATAGATTCAAACCAATCAAAAATCCATTCATCAATAGCTATTCTTGCTTCTTTCATATGTAGGCCTGATTTGAAAGTTAGTACTACTAACCTTCCACCTCCATCTCGCACTCTTACCTCCTTCAGGTCTCTTCTTTCAAACTCCTTCTGAAAATCATTGAATGAAGAAAAAGTCTTCAGCTTTACAATCAGAATTTCATATAGCCAACCATTTCCTGACTTATAAGCCTTTAGCACCACTTTCGATTTCTACTAGATGACTCCATTTTGAACAGCTTCATCATGAAATCTACTTCCTACATCCTCCATTTGTTGCTGTGTACAGATCCTTTTTTGATACTGCCTCATCATCTCGCCTCCTCTGTTCCTCATCATGGGTTGTTTCTGCACTTCTTTTTCATACTCTGTGTTTCTCAGTGCAAAAATCTCTACTGGTGTCACCTCACCATCAGACCACCATTGTTCCTCGTTGTAGGTTGTTTCTGTTCCCCTTTTTTATATTCTACCTTCTTCACCTTCAGAGCTTTATTATCACACCATAAACCATCAACCTTTTGCACCACCATGTCTGCTACAACCTTACAGTCGTACCTTACAAATCCGAACCGAGAGCCCGTAACTTGTCTTCTTTTCATTGGAATAAAGACATCCTTAACTATTCCGAGCTTATTGAATAAAGTATACAAGCTTTTTGGATCCATAGAGTTTGGAATTTCATCTACAAAGATGGTAAACAACCCATCTGCATCCACGGATGGGCTACTTTGACTGCCCACTCTACCTGCTCTTCTTCTTCTTAGCATCTAGTTCCACCCTCCTCTCTCCATTATAGATATTGTAATTCGTAATAAGTTAATCTAATTTTAATTTAATTATATTTTAGATCAATTTTTAATTATATTTTATTTTTTATTTTTATTTAATTATGTTTTAAATTAATCCTTAATTGTATTTGATATTTTAGATCAATCCTCAATTATATTTTAATTAGCATATTAACCTAAAATTTTAGGTTTGGAGAAAATGGGGATGCATTTGTCATTTTGTTGTATTAATTTTAATTTTTTAGAAAATCAAACAGACTCTAAAAAAATGGTATATATGATGTACCGTTCATTAGTTTGAATGGAAAAACTAACGGTAATATTTTAGTCCAAAATCACATAAAAGCGTTATAGTTATATTTGAACCATAAGGGGATAACATGCTCCATCCTCAAACCACAAGAGGATAAAATAAATTCAATCCAATTTTTTATTCAAGTCCCTAATCAATATTTTATAATAATTTAAAGAAAACTAAAATACTTTTTAGTTTAAAGACAATAATTTTTTTCTAGACAAATCTACATTTCATAGTTTTGTTACTCCACTACCTCCAACCCGGTCACCACCTCTGACTTTCCGATTACATTTTTTTCCATGAACTTGGTTTCGTTGATAGTGACGTAAAGTCCCTCTTTCAAAGACGAAGAGGGGCGGAATGCCTTCAATGTCTATAAGTATTTCCCTGCCGAGTTTCTCAATGACTACCACCGATTGCTGTTGATAATTTTTCGGTGACTTTCTACCGTAGTGAAATTTCACTCTACTTTTTTTTTTTTTTTGGTGTAAAATGCTGATCGGGGTTGATCCCCGGCATGAAGAAATGACAAGTTTGTAAAATGTTTTTTTTTTGGGAGTGTTGTGTTGAAAAAATAAAAATAAAATGAAAGAAAACAAGGGAGAAAGAAAATAGATAAAAAAATATTTATAGATGGATTATCTGAAAAATATCAGTGTGATTGTTTCAAAATAAAGTGGGGTTATTTAAAAAGGAGGAAAAGTGATTTGGGAAAAATAAATAAAAAATAAGTGATTTTAAAATCAAATGGAGGAGAGTTTGAGTAATAGAATATAATAAAAAGATATATATATATATATATATATATATATAAAATAAAGAAGGTGGGGAACAACATGATAAGGGTGTATTTTAAAATGATAAATAAAAGAAAGTTGAAGACAACATGATACCGGTGTGTATGGATGTGATAATGAGAGTGAAACAAACTTGGTGAGTGTGATTAAATAAATAAAAGTGGGAACCAACCCATGTGGGTGGAGGTGGTGTCATTAAAAAAGAAAAGGAAGGAGGATTGGTATCCGTGTAGGTTTATCAAAGACAGCGGTGGCAGATAGCTTCATGCCACTGCCACAGTGACCAACTACACCACATATGAAGTAACGAGTCCTGGTGGCCTTGAGAGGAATGCTGGTGGACCCACTACTGTCTGAGAGTTTCAAGGAGTTTCACGCGAATAACATTCGAGACACTTCCAGGATTATCCTCCAGATGGGTGCTGTGTTGATGTTCGGTGGACAAATGCCAGTAATCAAGGTGGGAAGAATGGCTGGTCAGTTTGCGAAACCCAGATCGGATCCATTTGAAGAGAAGAATGGTGTGAAGCTTCCGAGTTACAGAGGTGACAATATCAATGGAGACGCCTTCGATTTGGAGTCGAGAACTCCGGACCCACAGAGGTTGATCAGAGCCTACTGTCAATCTGCAGCAACTCTCAATCTCTTGAGGGCTTTCGACACCGGAGGGTACGCCGCCATGCAGCGAGTCACCCAGTGGAATATGGATTTCACAGAGCACAGTGAGCAGGGAGATAGGTATCGGGAACTAGCTAACCGAGTTGATGAGGCCCTTGGATTCATGTCTGCTGCTGGACTTACAGTTGATCATCCTATCAGCATAATCAGTCACCCCCCTTGCCCATGGATGTGTATCTGTGTGATATAGCAGAGAGAGAGCTTGTGTGTCGTCTATGTGTGTGTCTGGGTTGACTGGGTGAGTCAAGGAAGAAATTTCAAAGTATGTGTAGAAAATTCTAGCGGACTAGGTTGAGGTCCGGCGGGCGGCCAAGGCGAGGTTGCTGCCCGCCGGTGAAGCGAGAAATACTAAGGTCTTAACCTTGCTCTGATACCATGTTAGATAAATTGATATAGAGAGAAATTGTAGGTATTATAATTGATTGATATATATTGTTATGTATTACAACTCCTATATATAGAAGAAAATGTGGTAGTAGGTGTAGTGTAGTGGAGGTGGTAGGTGGAGTGGGTGGTAGTGGAGATGGTAGGTGGAATGGGTGGTAGTGGTAATTTACATTTACACAATTTACATTAACATATTTATTTATTTATTCTTAAGCAAAACGATGCCACTTTGCATTACGGCAAGAGTACTTCTCTTTGGAGTACAGCAGATGATTCAGACTCTTGTTGGAGATGATCCATGTGAATGCCCAATCTATCTTGGGAAAAAAAAAAAAAAAATGAAAATGAGATATGCATGTTAAAAAAATGGGAGAGTTTGTGATAGTCTTACAATCAAATGAAGAACAAGAGAAGTTTGAAAGTTTCTTTTATTTATTTATTAATAATATATAAAGTCAAATTTTTAAATTGATATATAGGTCTACCTAATTGTAGATTATATAACCACTACTGATCAAAAGTTCCATGGTAGTAACTGATGTCCATTCATTGATGAGTTAAGCATAATTGCCAAAAATCTCATGTTATGTTGTGCATTCCCACATGCCATAGATTTAATTATCTTAATAATTGCCAATCATATACGTGTTGAATTCACAACATTTCTCAAGAGTCTGTTCAATATGAATGCAGAAAAATTCAAAGGTGTTGGTCGATCGATAAAGACTTAAGAATAACATTTAAAATTTTGAGTTTAAATTTTCTTATGAGCCACTGGAGATTTGTCTGGTCGTTAATTTCAGTGTCTCTAGAGATTAGTTTTCGACGGTCTAAATACGAGATAATTCAGATCCAATAGAGTTAAGCTTGCCGGAAATACCTGATATTATCACAAAAAAAAAAAAAATAATAAAAAGTGCAAACAAATTACGCGTTAATGTCGTACAAACTTGATTTTGGTTTTCGTGTTAGCTTATATGATAAACGTAAGATACATAACAGAAGTTATCATTTTTCAAACCATCTAGCTTGACTTGCATTATTTGATTCCAATGGTCAAAAAAATTACATAAAATAAAGAATTTGAGATTGAAAACAAAACCAAAGCGCTTGTTTAATAATTAGGTTGCTCGAAGTTGGAAGAAATCAACTTGGAATGGGATGGAAAAACATCACATTCATGATCACAATGAAATATTATTATATGCAAGAAGGGTACCTGGTTTCTTTGTACCTGGTTTCTTTTTCAGTGGATTGAATGAGAAAATCACAACGAAATCCCATGAAAACGACAGATGAAGTTGTTGATGTATAGTATTATAATTAAGGAAATAGCTTAAGACTCTAGCTTGATTGGGTGAATTATAGTATATATATGATTGGGTTTTTTAATTTATGAGGCTCATATTCTAGCGTGCAATTGCAATTTTCATTATTTGTATTAGATTTCATGCTACAATCTATCCAATAAAATTGACAATTTTTTTTTTGTCCAACAACTAATAACGCATACCATTTGAGAATTGATTATTTTAATTGATTTTTTAACTTTTTACGAAATGTGCGTAGAAAAGTAAAGAGAGTGATAAGACAACTTATATTGACTTTTTAATTTTTTAGCTAAAATCTCAAGTCCCCAAATAATTGAGAGTACATATTTCCATATCCATTGCAAAACAAACATGGACAAGAAGAGATTATTTATCTCACTAATCCATCTGGATAACCAAATCTTACACTAATCTTATGAATTATTAATTCTCTCACTATTAATCTTGTGAATCAAATTAGGCCTCAAAACACAGCTTCTAAATTTATCTCTTATGATATGAATTGTTTTGTCTTACATGCTAATTTGTTTAAAAATCAAACAACTAAGATTTAATCTCATAACACGTCATTGTAGGAAAATCAACAATGATTCATACCACTAACAAAAAAGACCACTAATGTAATGGAAATGCAAAAAAAAGAAGAAAAAAAAAAAAAAAAAAAAAAAAAAAAAAAGGCATAGGCAGTGGGCCTCGCACACTAAAGGCTTGAATCCAAATATCAAACATGTGCGCACTTAAATTTATATAACCTTTTTGTTTAGTGAATATACAATTAGGTGTTGATAAACCTAATCAAATTAATTAAATGTGCAAAAGTAACTTTAAGCTTGTTTAATAAATAATCCAAGTAAAGCCGTACTTTCTCCACAAACCCCATACATATGTATATTAGAAATAAAATAACAATGTCCATGATCAATTATTTGGGCAAGAGAAGCTTTGGTGGCCGTTAATCCCTTTGATCTTCTAGAAGGCAGCAGAGAGCACGACGAAACCAGTCAGCATGCATAAAGGACAGTGAATTAACAATTTTATTATTGTGTAATTAATTCTCTTATTAATTCCACATACATATTTTATCAAATTCTTTGTTTCCATTGACTGTCATTGTTAAAAATTTTAGCGTGTTTGTAGTTACACTCCTTGATTCAGACATTTTGGACATGGATGATAGATAGAGAAGTGATTCACAGCAAATAATTTTCATATAATAACTAAAATGAAAGGGTATTATGTGATTAATTTTTTTTATTATTATTTTAAAAACTAATAACAATTAATGACCAAACAGTTGATTGGTAATTTGGCATTGTACAAGGATACTGGGAATGTAACGCTCCAAAATAATAATAACCCGCCTCTTGACATTCAAAGGAAAGGCAGAAACTTATGTAATATTAATATTTCATTGATATCTTTTTACCAAACAAAAAATGACATATGCATATATAGATTCATAAATTCTAAACCCTAAATCTATAACATATGACATGTGTGAGTGAATTAGAACAAAAGAAAGTACAAATAAGTTCATACCTTAATGACTACATCTTTCCAAGTCGATACTTGAGAACAACAAAATGAGTTGAACTCCATACATATAAAGCTTAAGACTTGTACAACAAATATTTATATAAAAAAAACAAAATGAAACCTTCAGATCCAAAGTTCTCCCAAGCTACGTCCTTGGTGGAGGTATGTCATCAACACTTGAAAGTTGTTTTACACGTAGGATGAGGTAAAGCTCAGTAAGGATACTTGAACATAATGTATGAAACTTAACAAAATCAAATGATGAATGCATATGCATGCCATTTGTCAAAAACGTTACACATTCTCTTTCAAAGTAATGCAATGCCATAGTTATATATATAAATCAATACTTTTTAAAATAAAAAAGCAGGGCAGTAAATACAAAACACTAAGAATCTCTAGGTACATGTCTGCCAGTATGTTATATAGGCACTACCAAAGCTATTTTACCGGTGCTAACTGGAAGGATCGGCGCCTAACTGCGTGAGTTTCTGGACTTTCACCAAATACACATAGACTAACATAATAAAACTACAACCACATTCCTTAACCAAATTCACCAAGGTATACACCATTTTTTTTCTCAAATGAAATAATACTCAATGCAAGATGTATGAGTGGTTAGTTTCAATAAACCTAATCCACATGCAATTTCTACAACAATCAAAGCTAGCCTCCATCAATAACCCAAAATAGATATCTCTATACAATTGATAAATTTCCAACAACAATATATAAATTCAAATCCTAAAATGAGAGTGATAATACATATCCAACTCTACTCTCATCATCAATAGCTACATTCATTTTATCTTTTTAACACTCAACATCTTTCATCTTCATAGGCCAATCACTAATGATTTCCAACAAAATCTCATTTTCTTTAAAAATACACATTTAAAGGAGAAATTTTTAACATTTCAACACAACTTAACCATAATTTCATTCCCACAACATTCCTCAAGAACCCAATTGAAAACCCCTTTATTTATTTTATTTATTTTTATTTTTTTCATTTCAAAAACCAAACCATAAATCAGAACCGTAACTCTAAATCATAATATTCTACAAGGAATACATAACAAAGCTAAGAATCATATGGAAAGGTTGAAGAAATCTCTACCTTAAGACTATAAGAGTTAACAAACAAGACACAAGATTTGACGAAGCCGAAACTCGGACTTTCTTCGATCAAAATGACCACTTCTACGCGCTCTACACTTTTTATTTGAGTGTTTAGGTAAGAACTAAAGGGAGAGAGTGAAGAAATGTTTTAGAGAGAGAGAGAGAGAAAGCAAAAAGTGACAGAAAAAGACATTTCCCTGATCTAATATACTCATAGACTGGTTGAGCAACCAAACTACTGCTCAAGCGTCAGACACAACAAGTGACATTGTTCAAGTGACCAAAACATGGCTCGAGTGCACAATGACCCCCGCCCAGAAGTTTTGTAGACTATAGAAGACCGTTCGAGCGAAGGAAGGACCACTCGAGCGAAGATCACGCTGCTTCCAGTAGTTTTACAGACCTGCAAAAGTACTGAGAGAACTCAAAAACCACTCGAGCGCAAGAAAGATCGCTCGAGTGAACCTGAAGAAATTAGACACGAATTCCCTTGAAAAACGAACTACCAACCTATTTATAACAAAATCAACAACTCCAAAAACTAAATTTAAAAACAACAAGACAAGAAGGAGTATAGACAACGATAAAGATTATCAGATCCCGAATCCAAGAATATGAAAGTGTTGGTCTAACCCAAGTCGTTATAATCTTTTCTCCTTAAGAAATTTCATTCCCAAAATTTAAATCAAAACAATAATCACCGCGATCTAATCTCATTGACAATCCATACTAGTAACAATCATAAAACAATGTCATTCAGCACAATATTACCATTCGAATCTCCAGAACACTTACAATGTTTATATATATATATATATATTACAACACAATGAAATTTCAATACAAAACTCAAATAGCAACA